TGAGGTACTATCTTTTGCATATCTTAGCCAAAACTATTTTGAAAATATTTTCCATTTTTGTGCACTAACTTCAAATGCTAACTTCACCAAAAAAAATTCCCTCTTAAAGTATGATTTTAGCCAAATGTTTTAATCAGCATTATCTGATGAAATTCCATTTAACTAGTTTCCTACTACACACCACCAAAAATGAATATACTTTGCATACATATGCACTCCACACACATTTATTAAACATTTCCATACCCAGCTGTGATCTGGAGCATGACTAGTCTCTTCCATAAATTCACAATATATGCAACCAGATAAGAGTGACTGAAAGAATACACAGGAACTACATGATCAGCTGCAATAACTCTCAATATACCCCAGTAACACTCAAGTATCATGGGAAAAAAGTGTGTTCTGTAAATCCCAGAATATAGTCAGAATTTCCCTGTATTAGTTTACTGCCTCTTGCAAGTTCCTATATCTTTCTTTCTGTTTCACAACAATGGTTTATCTTTATCAATCACCATATAAATCACTGTGCTGCTGACGCAGAAAAATTAGCCATAAAACTTGCATATGGAAAGATATTTTCAGCATGCTTCCCACAAAAAAACATAGCTGTTTCTACAACAAAGAACACTTACAAATCACTTGCTTTATGTCACATAATTAATTTTACAAGTGCAGTGAAAATAAGCTAAAACAATAAAAACTTTCACTATGTCCATGTGTGTCTTGTGCTTTTTCAAAACAAGTATTTCAGCATTTATCTCATGATGTAATTAATATTCCATTCCAAACTTGGTATTTTGGTTGCATCCTACAAAAAAAACCAAAAAAACTCATACAGCTTGAGAACCCAGAACTAATTTTTCCAGATCCCTTTTCAATTCCTGTTTATTCTGGATACCCTGCAGAAAACTTCAATTTTGAGAGCCTCTAGTGTAAATGGGTCGATCCAGTTATAAATTATTTGCAGATGGCTTTGGAGGTACTATGATAAGAACACTGGTCACCAGCATAGACCCGTAACTATTTATACACCACGATAATTGGAAACCTTTCTCACAAAACAGAAGTCCACTCTGCAGGATGCTGTACAGAGAAAGGTTATTTTTGCCTTAAAGAGCTTACACTCAGTATAAGGCAGAAAGAGAATACTGACGCATGGACAGGAATATAAAGAAACTAAGACAGCAAGTTCTGAACAACAGACCCCCCTTTTGCACACCAGCAGTCTTCCTCAGCTTCCTCCAAGTGTCATCTGTGACTTGACCAACTAGCTCTGCAGAGAAGGAAGGAAACAATCATGCTCCAGCCCAACAACATCCAACAGAACCTTCAGGAGGTGAAAAGCCACTGTCTTCAGACTTCAACTGCAGAGCTCAAGCATCACTTCCCTCACAACAGAACAATGTTTGACCATCAGCAGTGTCTTACACCTCCTCCTGTTATTTTAGAAGGCCACGCTCATGATCTCAGCTGAAAAAGAATCATTGGATGTTTGGGTGGGTGAAAATAGTAACTATCCTGAAAACAAAGCAATATAGACCTGAAAGACTGAAAGGAGAGCTCATGGCAAAGTGGGATGTTTTCAAGGAATACCTGTCTCTTTCTAGAAACTAGATATCACACATTACTTCCAAGACAAGGATTGTCATTCCTTCAGTGAATGCTGGGTAGCAAAAATAATCTGAATAATTTTATGGAGAATCAAAAACAAAATCTCCACAATAAGTCCCAGCTAACTCAAGATGTCAGACAAGATCTCTTTGGGGAAAATTAACTGCCTTATTTTTGCTTACACAAATTAATTTAATGAGAAAAAAAATCACCTGATACTGTTTCTGATTAATCACTTAAACACTGGAGAAAAGGGAAAGGTCTCATTCATTCTTTCTCACCTCAAGTTTGACCACCTATTATTACAGATACCTATAATTTACACCTATAATTTACAGACATTAAAAAAAAAAAAAACCTCTAGAAATACCATAAACCAAATAGTACTAGCAGAGTTTATGGTATCTCCATTCTAGTCTATTCTAGATCATATTTAATGCAGAACCATAGATGTCATCTGATTACATATAATCTGAGTAGGGCACAATTTGCTTTTGTTCTAGTTGGAGTTTAAATATTATGCATCAAAGTGTTTGTTGTGCTGGAGCACTGTCATTTCCTATAGCTTTGCAACTCATAAGAACCTTTAAGGTCCTCCTACGAATAGTTAAAATTTCAGAGTTTCAGCCTCTGGCATTCATACTAGAAGTCACTGCTAATGAAACTCTTTTACATATCACTATAGCCATAATATGTGGAGGAGATCCACATGTCTAGTTAAAATGCCAGTGCCTATGGCAAAAGAAAAAAAAAATAGGAAAAAGTAGGGTGAAAATTGGGAAAACACGCCTCTGAATGTCTAAAGACACTGATTCTGAAGATACACTTGGTTCTTTAAGAGAACAGAGAAAACTCAATTGCCCAGAGAGCCGCAAAAACATCGGTTGGGTATTTGCAAAGAACACCACTGGACTGAAAAGATTAAAATGTAGTTTAATCAATACAGTAAACTTAAAGAGGAAATTACTTGCATGTGGATTTACTGCAACAGCCTTTTCATTGAGAAGTGAGGTAGATCGGTAGAAACTAATTTGTAGCCTTTGCTTTAAAGACAGGACTACTACAGGGACTTTGTGAAACAAGGCAATAAAAGAAGATTCAGAGATAAGTGGAAATATTATTGCTAAAACTCCTGACAAACAGACTCCCCAAAGGAGACAGTCAACAAGAATATTCAGTAGGAGGGTACTAACATCTTTATTTCAGCTGTGACTCACTCTTAAGTAACATTTATTTTCTTAAGAACCCCTATAAGTAAAATGAAAACCCCATTCACTGACCATAACTATAGGGAGAACATCATCTTTCTGATTAGATTTTCTTTATATCGGCAACTCCTTGTATTAGGACACAACAAGAAACAGAGGCCCAAATCAGCTATTTTTTTAACAAAGAATATAACTGTGCCAAAGATGAGTAAAGGAAATTTTTATGCGTGTAGGAGAGAAGAAAGCAGAAAAACTAAATCCAAGATCAGAGCATTTCCTTCCCCACCCACAATAAAGTGTTTATGGACTTCCCTGTCGTGACTATAACGTTAAAAATGTAAATTTATACGACAGTCCCAGTTGAGAACCATATTAATACCAACTGGTTACCACCACTCACGTCAGCGAGAAACTGTCTCAATCTGTGTTCAAAATTTCACTTATTCCAGCAAAATTCAGTTGACACATTGCATTCTTTTGCAGAAAGTGCTGAAAATATATTTATATATAAAGAAAAATGAGAGTGCTGAACAGTTTCCAGTTTCCTTTAATCTGAACAGGTTAACAGTATTATAAATGCTTCTGTTTGAGGTAAACACACTTGGACTCTTACAGCAGTCATTAGTTGTTCACTACTAGCTTAGAAACCTGCAAAACCATGGATACACAGACCTGAAAAAATCCCACCCCAATAATAAGCTATTTTACATTCATAAATATTTAAATTACCAAAAACTCTTCAGGGGCAATAATAGTTACTCTCCACAGTTTATAACCTCAAATAGTTTCTTTTGGAAGTTCTGTTGCCAAGAAAGTTGGTTTGGTTTTTTTTATTTATATTAAAGACAGTTTAATCAACAGTCACTTCATCAGCCTCTTCTTATCTAAATAGAAACTTACACAACTGGAAAAAATACTTTACATACACTGTCACAATTTCTATGTCCATTTAATGTGTGAAAATTTCACCATAGCTCTGACATAGAAATCTGAACTTGAAGTTCTTTATGTATTTGACTGATTTAAGTGTCTTCAACAGCAGGACACATGCAAGAGCAATTTGTATGCTAATGTGTGTGTACACTATTTGCATTCTCACTGCTTCTTCAAACACTTAAAATACAAGGCAACACAACAAGACTTGACTGCAAATTTTTGATCACTGAATCCATCTCAAAATTGCTACATCACTTCGCCACTGCTGGATGAGGCTGTTTTCAAATGAAAGCAAGAACATACACTCTCTTTAAACTTTCTACTTATTTATGTATTGTTTCAGTCTTTGTAGGCTTATCACACATGGATATGCCTAAGTTAGTAAGATCCTGTGAAGCTAACGTAAGCACTAATATCACAGATGAAAGCATCCGAAATGTGAAAATTATTTAAGCATTTACATTGCATAAGAAATCCTTTCAACTTAACATTCTATTTATGATCGCTCAGACAAAAAAAAAACATTTCACTGTATCATTTTTCTCAAGGAACCATGTAACAATATACCTAGACTACATACAGTGTACATATATCAACACAGCAGTGTACAGACTTGAGCTAACCCAGGTACCAAAAGCAAACTACTTACAGAACCATACCCAAATAAGATAGCTTGTAAAAGGTCCACACTAATGAGGCAAAACCATTTCTGGTACCATACAGCCATTTTATAACTACAGTATCTCTACAGTGCTCCTCATGCAGTGTAAGCATTCCCTAAGGAAACACCTCCAACCATGGAAATAACTATCTCAGAACTAGGGATGATGATGATTTTTAAAACCCACATACTATCTCTTGTACAAGAAGAAGAGAGCTTTACACAAACTCATGACACAACCATCCATGAGAATTCCCCACTACTATGAGTAATGAACATGACCCTAGGAATACACATGTGCAATTCAGAAAGACAAGCACAAAAGCAAGAGAGTATTCAAACACAATAGTTTTAACAAATACTGCTTATTTGGGGATTCAGGCATACAGATACCAGAATTTTATTAGTTTGAATGCAGAGCCTTAATTTGAATTGCAAAACAATTTTGAACCTTTAAAAGATGCAACTGATCCTTAAAGAGTACGCCTTTATTCCTCTAAACAACAGTTATGCCTACGCTGCACAAATTTTTCTGCTGGACTGTTAGCGAATCACAAACATTAATTAATCATTTAACTCACCTGACCTGGCTGGGGGGATAAACAACTAAGAACCTCCTCCAGCATCACTGGCATATGCAATCTTCCAAAGTTACTGTTTTCCGTACTTTGAGGCAACTCTTCAGTTTCGCATTTCTGGACGGTTTGTTCCTTTAACTCACAGTCAGAAAGCTTTTTTGATGAAGTATGGATCCTTCTGGCCAGACTAGCCACGCTTACCGAATTCAGTTTTAAGTTGTGGAGAAACAAACACTTGTAAACTCGGCAGAGATACCGAGATAACATTTTGGAGTTGATCAACCTGGAAGAACAGTAGATGCTGGGAATTACTTTCAAACAAATACTTGAAACAGTGTATCTGTTTAAAAAAACAAAGTGGAACTGCTATAAGTAAAGCAATCGACACACATTCCAAAATGGGCAGTTTTATAGATATGTCATGTCAACAAAACATGTTTTCAGAACTTTCAATGCTATTTACCAATCAAGCATATTCAAGCAACCAGTAGATTATTTTCACTATCAAATTTTTATTATGTGTTTTGCTTGCATTTACCTTGCCGGAGGCCTCAGATATTTTGCCTACATAGATAAGAACATGCTGAGTAATCACCTCTGGAAAGTTATTCTCTCAATAATTTAAGTCTCAGCTGGGTAGTATTTCCACCTACCTTAAATTCATTAGTGCACATCCCTCTAACTTTGTAGACACCCAGAAGTGAGGTTTCACAACAAAACACAGCGCCCCTACAGCAAACACACACATCACCACGGGATGCTGTGCTGGTTTAGGCTGGGGCAGAGTTAATTTTCTTCACATGGGGCTGTGCTTTGGATTTGTGCTGAACACAGCAGGGAGGAGACACAGCTGGTGCAGATGACCCAAACTGGCCAAGGGGATATTCCAGACCATATGATATCATGCTGAATTTATACAGTGCGGGGGGAGAAGGAGGTATGAAGTGATGGTTTGTCTTGTCAAGTCACTGTTGCGCGTGAAGGGGCGCTGCTCTCCTGGAGAGGGGTGAGCACCTGCCTGCCCTTGGTGAATTGATTCCTCTCGTTGCTTTGCTTGTGTGCACAGCTCTCTCGTTCCCTATTAAACTGCCTTTATCCCAACCCAGGAGCTTTCCAGTTTTCACCCTTACCCCGATCCCGTGGGTGGGGCAGCGAGCGCCTGCCGGGGCTTGGTTAAAGCAGGACAGGTGCGGCCACCAGCCTCATCCTCCTCCTCCTCCTCACACCGACCCACGCGGGTGCGAGCCCACCCTGGTCTCGCCGGGGACACGCTTTGCCTACAGCCAACCCTATTCTATCAGACCACAGGGATTTTGTTTCGTAGAAGCGAGCAGAGAGCGTGCTTTATTACGGTCTAAAGCGGCACTCGGGCACAACCGGAGGCAGAGCGGGGCTCGCACTGAGCCAGAAGGTGAAGGCAGAGGCGGCCGGAAAGCGTCAGCAGCCCGCAGCCCGGCCCACGCCAGCTCCGCGGCCGAAGGCTGTTCCCCCGCTCCCCGCCCGGGCCGGGCCAGCGTGACACGCGGAGCGAGACCCCCCGCCCGTCGGTGGCCCCGGCGCTGTCCCCGCTCGCGCGGCCCGCTCCCCCCGGGCCGCAGGGCACGCGCCGAGCTCGGCCCCGCGCACTTACCGTGAGCGCCGTCGCTCTGCTGACGTCACGGGCAGGCGGCCAATGAGGAGGCGCGGAGGGCGGCCTGCTTGTGTTTGAATTCGGCGGCCGGAGCGTGGCGGTTGGACCGGCCGCGGAGGTGAGAGCGGGGATGGACACGGGTCGGGGGTGAGACCGGGAATGGGCGTGGGCCGGCGGCGGGCAGCGGTCCCGGGGGTGAGTGCACGGGCCGAGGGGTGAGAGAGCGGGCGGACAGGGGCTGGGGGGGTGAGACCGGGGATGGACACGGTTCGGGGGCTAAGACCGGGTGTGGACACGGTCCGTGGGTGAGTCCCGGGGATAGGCGCTGCCCGGGACACGGCCGGCGGCGGACACGGCCCGGGGAGGGGGGCGAGTGCCGGCGGCGGACACGGCCCGGGGNGCCGGCGGCGGACACGGCCCGGGGAGGGGGGCGAGTGCCGGCGGCGGACACGGCCCGGGGGGCGAGTCCCGAGGCGGGCGCTGAGCGTTGTCTCGCCGCTGCGCCGATCCCGGCGGCGCGCCCCGAGCAGGAGCGTGTGCGGTGGGGTACGGAGGGGAGCTCCCCCGCTCCTCTGCCCCAGGTGTTCCCTTGCTCCGTGGCCGTGTCTCGGTTATGGCTCAGCTGAGCTTGCCCTGAAGCGGCAAAAGCGTCGCCGAGAGCCTTTAGCGTGCAAGTCGCTGTCCGCTCTTAGAGGAACGAACAAGCAAGGATGAGCCATTTAAAGGAGATTCCAGGTTGTTATCGGTCGCTGTATCCCATGCAAGTTACGTTAACGTAAATCCCGCTGTAACTCCCTTTAAACCCACGTGCAGCGTGAGTAAATCAATAACCCAGGGAATAGAGTTCCCTATAACTACAGCATAGGCGGCTGCTCTGCCTTCTGCTGCAGGACAAGAAAACTACCCACATTAGTCTGTAGGAACCCGGAAGCTCATCTTCAAGCTTGCTCTGACACAAAGGACAGCCAGTAGGTTATTTAGTAGTTTGAATTGTTATAATAAACTTAGGAATTTACCGGGGAAGTCCTAGCTGGGTTTCTTAAAGCTGCGCTGGATTAAGTCACCTTTTCAGGCCGGTTACAGTGCTTCCCTAAGTTGCACTGCCACTGTATCTAACTGGCAAGCGCTGGGTGGACCCGGCAGAGATGCCGGGTGTTAGTCCTTATCAAAAGCGTGAACTACCTGAAAGGTTTTATCTGAAATATAATGCCTTTCACTCTGTGTTGTCAACTGCAGAGGAGATTCAGCTGTGCAACCTGAAAGAGTCTTGGAAGCGAAGCTGGGGGCCGGAGGGGATGACTCCCGCTAAGGAAGAAGATGTTTGCAATCACGTGAAAGTGGTGGTCCGTGTCCGTCCAGAGACCCAAAAGGAAAAACAGGACAACTTTAGCAGGGTTGTCCATGTTATTGACCAGCATGTGTTGGTCTTTGATCCAAAGGAGGAAGAAGTTAGCTTCTTTAACGGGAAGAGACTGACCCATAGGGATATTAACAAAAGACAGAGGAAAGATCTTAAATTTATGTTTGATGCTGTTTTTGATGAAATGTCATCCCAGTTGGAAGTTTTTGAGCATACTACCAAAACTCTGATTGATGGCTTCTTAAATGGATATAACTGCACAGGTGACTTCGCTATTTATTTTCTTTAATTAAAAAGCTTCAAAGTTTCTACCGTGCAACTGCTGCAGGTGCATTAAAAAAGCCTGAGATAGAAATAAAGCCCTGTGTTTTAATTCATATGTATGAGAGGCTGGCTTTTTAGCATATGGAAGTTAGAATAGCTCTACTATTTTGGAAGTAAGTTTGTGTTAGGGTTATATAAGACTTCAGAATTTTATCTGAAATATGTGTGCTAATGACATAATAACTCCTCTGGAGTTATTCAAGCAGAAGCAGTTGTGTCACTAAATGTGTGGTAGCCTGCTTTATGAACTCTTTAAGAGGCTTTTTTAATTGGCAAATGAAATGTGATGAGGAAATTAAATGTCTTTTAGCAATAAGTTGATGGTGTAGGGTTATGAGAGTAAGTAAATAATATTTTCATGTAAATTTTGAACTGAAAATTCAGAAATGTTACTTTGAAATAGGTCTCTGATTACAGCTGTTAAAGGTAAAGTCTAAGTAAGAAACTTGATCAGTTTATGAAAACAGCTGTTCAGAATGACAGGTCTCTGAATGTTCATTTGACTTCTGTGTTTCTGATTAGCTTACTGGTATAATTTGCATATTCTTACTTTGGTTTTTTGTGTAAATTCAGTGCTTGCATATGGTGCAACAGGAGCTGGAAAGACTCATACCATGTTAGGTTCTCCTGAAGATCCTGGAGTGATGTATTTAACCATGATGACACTTTATGACCGCATGGATCAAATAAAAGAAGATAAAATATGTGATGTTGCTGTCTCTTATTTAGAGGTGAGTTCCTGCATTTGCAATGTTGCTTTTAATAATTCATATTTAATACATAAAGACAAGCTGGTTTTGCCTTTCCTTGGTCCTTTCTGGGGCTTGACAAAATGCATCCTTACAGGAGTGGAACTGAACTGTGCTCTGCCGAATTTGCTGCTCAAAGGCACCTGTCACTGTTTTACAGAAGGCTGCCTAAAAAGAACAATCACTCCTAACATATTCACTGAACATTCTCGTGATTTTTGTCTTGCTGATCAGTTACATCCCTCTGAATATCTGTTGATGTGTACAAAAAAATACCGGGGTTATATCTCAGGACTTCACAACAACATCCTATAAGCACTGTGAAATTACACAACAAAATCATGTTCTGTTTTTACAAGTCAGTGTCTTGGCACTGCTGTTGAGTAGTAGTAGTGAAATTGTTATCTTCTAGCTCCCTCAAATTCTTAATGGAAGAATAGTTGGTGTTTGGGAAGGGGAGAAGGAGAGAAAAAAGGAAAATAAATGCTTTGGACTCATGCTGCTTGCAATAAATTTTTTTTGGTTAAAAAAAAAGTTCTTTTTTTTTAATAAGGAAAACAGTTATTTACTAAAAAAAATGACGCACCTTAATGGCTTAAAAGAAATCATGCACATTGAATATTTTAAACTCAGTATAATAAAGCTGTTTGGAAAAAAATCTACAGTGTGAATTTGTTACTTTGCCTTAAAGAAATACTAAAAAAGATGAGTGATTTCTGTTTATTTAAGTTTAATTCAGTCAAGTATGGGAAGATTTTCATAAAATACTTTAAATTCCCTTTCAAAGATTTACAATGAACAGATCCGTGATCTGCTGGTCAGCTCTGGACCTCTGGCTGTTCGTGAAGATGCCCAGCAAGGGGTGATAGTTCAAGGTCTGACATTACATCAGGTATGTAAATACATATGAAACTCACAATGTGCTTGAGAAATTTGAGAAAGGTCCCATAGTTCTGTGAGAGTTGTATGGAACTTGGTAATTTCCTAGTGGGCTGTTTTCTGGCCAGTAACTTGCAGTCTTAACTGATTAGTCAAAAGCACATCGTGGAATAAACTGGTAATATTATTGAATGCAAATAAATAAAGCATTCAGTCCTTATTGTCATCCAGCAGGTTTTGGCAGATTTGTTTTTCAGCTAAAACATCTTGGCATCTTTGCCAAAGAGTTGCTATGCTGGCCTGGAAAAGTGGGTTAACATGAAACTTTTCAAACGTGGTTATTATAAAAACAGAAACAACCCTGAGACTTCACATTGGTGTAGAACACTCTAAGATGGCAATGAAGGCAAAGTCAGTTTTACAATCTGACAGTCAATTCTTCTGGACCTATTTTTTTTTTTGTAACCTTTTAGTGTATGTTACATGCTATGTAGCTTCCAGATTTTGTGTTCATGGAATGAATTGACAGGAAACAATGTTCTTAGTTTGGCTTGCTCTGTGAACATCATGCTTCCAAAATCTCCAGTCTTGTGAGGAGGCAAAAAAAATTAGTGTATCACTGTTTAATGCATTAGTACAAGAAGAATTAAGTCAGGCATTCTTAAATGAGGCTTCTTCTATGGAGGACCTTTTCAGATTTGTTTAAATTCTTTACTAAAAGTATTCTCTGATCTAAATTTCTGCAGTTAAATGCTTTTCATACATGACTGCTTTTTAGTGGAGAATATTTGTTTGAAGTGCCTCAATTTCAAAACAGGAAATTTCTCTTATTTCTGGGTAGATAAAATGTTAAGTTCCTTTCTTTTTTTGAAGGTGACTGTTAATGTATTGTAGAATCTCCTATAGTTGATGGAAAAGGGGAAAAAAGTGTATTTATCTTGTTCTCTACCGTTAAAGCCTAAATCAGCAGAGGAAATCCTTCAGATGTTGGATTATGGAAATAAAAATAGAACTCAGCATCCCACAGATGTGAATGCCTCCTCTTCCCGGTCCCATGCTGTCTTTCAGGTAAGATAACACAGCAGATGTACAGTGGTCGTTACTGTGAGTTGCAGGTTTTGTTTAAAGTTGGATACACAGGAAGCTTTTATTTTTAAACTGTGTTGAACCTTCGTTTTGGTCAGAGGGGATTGAAGTTTTCCAGTTTCCTTGTTGACTCCTTATTCCTTAGAAGTATGTAAAGGATCATAGTGTTTATATTTGAAAAAATTAATTCAATGAAAAGGTCTCTAATTCCAAGAGTTTGAACATATAACTTACATTTATGACAACTTATATACCTTAGAAGAAATATCTCTTCTGAAAAATGGTAATTTCGAGCTTGGAATATACTTCCATATTGTAATTTTATAAACTGAAAGTTATTGGTGGGTTTTTCGTTGGTTTATGGTTTCATTATGTTGCTCGGCATTTCTGTAAGAAAAATAATTTACAGAATGAGGTTACATGTCTGACTATAAACTGAGAATGTCAAGTAGTACTTTCCTACTGTACTTATTTTGGTTAATGTTAATTTTTACGCTAAAGTGATTTCTTAATGTTGTGGTATGTGCCAAGTTTTAGAAAATGAAATGATGATTCTTAGTTTCCATAAACAAGTTTGGAAAGAGTTGTATAAGTCCACTAGAACTTACAACTTCTCCCAAGATTATTGCTGTGTGCTACCCCCTGACTCCTCCTTAAATACAACCTCTGATATTTAAAAACTAGTCCCATTAACTAAAATGTATTTTATTTTCTTTTCTGTTTGTTATCACCTACTGCAAAACAGTGTCTTGAATTATTTATATGATGCCCCTCAGGGTTGAAAAATATTAAATTTGATTCTGGTCCTAGCATTACATCATTCAACTGTTGGGCAGTTCTTAACTGTATCTGCAGACTTTGGCAATGCTTAATAAAAGCAGCCAAAAGTTTTGGGATTTTTTTAAAGAAACTTCTAAATATGTAACACAGCAAAAGTCACTGCCACTCTAAAAGCTTCTATGTTTTCTTATATACCTTAAACTTCTGTTTGAAATTGCCCTCCCTGTTTTTAATTTCCCCTGAGGTCTTGCCCATGGTTGTACACTGTACGTGATCGTCCGAGACTTCTTCTGAAGTTGTTCAGGTTGAGAAGTTGTTCATTGTGTGTGTGTGTTCTGCCTTTAAAAAGGCACAGGGTACAGTGCTACAGAGTGAACTGCTGATTTCTGTTTGTTGACTTGCTGGGCTGGGGTGTCTTATCTCCCTCACCTTGACTCAGGAAAAAAGCTCTGGATTGTATGATCTGGCAGTCTTTACATTCTTCTCAGTACATTTCTAAAAGTGGCAAGCAATTACATAAATCACTTCAGTTTCTCATGTATTTCCACACATCTGTGACGTTCTGCTCAACAGATTTGTGTCTTTGGTTCCAGAGATGTGAGTGTTGAGAAATCCCCAGTGCTGTCTCGACTGAACTTATTTCTATTATTTTAAGAGCTGTTTGTTTGTAGAGATATGTTATCTTTTATGCTGGCTTTGGCTTTGCTTGTTAACTTTATTGGAGCAGGATGTTGTCTGAAACTCACTCAGAAACTGATAAAAGTCTTAGCCCGGGACATTCTGAGCTGATTTTAGAGATTCAAGTTTTGCCTTCCCATACCATCTGTCTTCAGTTTGAAACATCTATCTAGGTCAGGCAATTACTGCATCTGAAAGTAAAATCCAAATTGCCACACTGTTCTATTGAAAGTGTTCTGCTGACTGACAAAGAAATAGAAAAGTTTCTGCTTTGGGGCATTTCCTGTATCTTTTGAATTTTTACAAAAGCTTGAGTCGTACAACATAGTTTGGCTGTCACTTCAGCATTCCCTGCTTCACTAATGATAGTTACTGGTTTGTTCTGATTGAGTGTTCCCAGTCTGAGGTTGGATTCTTTTTGTCTATTGTACTAGAAATAGTACAACTGAAGTTAGTTGTACTGTTTGATATAGAAATATATCTATTTAGAATAGATACCTTTTCATGGCGAGTCATAAGTATTTGATTCACTCAGAATACTTGTCAAATTATTCCCAGTTACAAAATGCTGTGAAGACTTCATTTCTCGTGCACAAAGCTTAAAGCTACAGAACTAGTGAGATGTTGTCTTTATTGCCTCATGCATGGCAGCTCTTTCCTAATTGACTGTCTAAAAGTCTGTTCATGAAAGGGTCAGTAACCAATAGCCTTATTAACAAATGGCAAGGCACTCAACACAAAAGAAGGGAAAATTTATAGAGAATTCTGGAAAAGTAAAAGCCATCTAAGGATAACTTTTTAATTCTCCTTACTGACTGTATAATCACGCTCTGGCTACTTCCTTATAAACCTGAGGAAAGAATACCTTCAGCAGCAGAAGGAAGCAAAAGTGTTTAGTTCCTTGTACATCTCCTGTACCGTGAAAATTTCAGGAAAAATGGGATGAGGAGGAACAAGTGGCTTCAGTGGGCACCATGTTCCAAAAGATGCTGGAGTGTGTTTTCACAGCAGTAATTAAGTGTTGTTTCCTATTAACAGTAGATACAATTAAGTCTAAGTCCCTGAAAATCCAACCTTTTTCCTAGTTTATCCCTATACATGTCTTTATTGCGTACTCCCAAATGTGCATTTAAAAAATGAACACTTCTTTCAATTTAAAGCACAATAGTGTGATATACATCTTAAGTGATGAAGAATCAAGAGTTATTTTAGCTGTGAAATTCATTTTTCCCTGTAAAGAGTGAAAAAAAACTCACTCATCTTCGCTGCTGTTGTAAGCCCAGGGCCAGTTGGTCACTTAATCCTCTGCAGCAGGATGGGGGAGAGAATCAGAAGTGCAAAAGCAAGGGGGTTCTGAACCTTGTGGTTCACTTAACTAAAGGGGAGTAGGGGAGGGAACAATCATTTGCCACCATGAGATTAATGCTCAGCCATTCCTCAAGCAAGGGCTGCTTCAGAGAAACTTCCAATCAGTTGGGGTCAGCTGTTTTCTTGCAACCTCTTGCCGACTGCCTTGGCGACCGCAGAGCCGCTGTCCAGCAGCAGCTGCTCACCAGTGTGTCACCAGCACTGCCTGGGTCACAGCTCTGAAAGCACCACATAGGCTGCTATGCAGAAATTTAACTCCACCCCAGTCAAACTCCGTGCAACTACACTCTGCTTCTTTTTCCTTACTGATACCTGACACAAGTTGAGTTTAAGAGGTGTCAGAAATGGGTTTGCTCTTTTTCCATTAGGCCAAGCTGCCTGTTGGTGTTAGATATTTACAAAAAGGTTTATCTTGGATTTCGAGAAGGATTCCAATAAGAATTTCTGAAAACAGTTGTTAGTTTTATTGTGTAACTTACTACTTAAACTGGTTAATGGCTACTTTTTCTTTTCTTTTTTTTTTTATTGTAGATTTACCTACGGCAGCAAGATAAAACAGCCAGTATTAATCAAAATGTTCGTGTCGCCAAAATGTCCCTCATTGACTTGGCAGGATCTGAACGTGCCAGTGCAACAAATGCCAGGGGGGCTCGTTTTGTAGAAGGAACAAACATTAACCGCTCCCTGCTTGCTCTTGGAAATGTCATTAATGCATTGGCAGATCCAAAGGTTTGTAAGTGCTGCTTTCCTGTGCAGTCTTCACCTCCTAGTGTTCTGAATTTTTATTTTTTTTTTGGAATGCTAAGCTGGTTGAGTAATGGGAATTACATTGTTGATGCTACTCCTTTAAGATTGTTTTCAGGGTTTCCACTGTCATTTCTGTGATAGCTGAAAGACAATCCCAATGAGAAAGAGTTCTCAAAAATAATGTGCAGCTACCTAAGGATAGTGTCAAAGATGAATGTAATTGCTTTTCTTACTACCTTTTTCAAAATCAAGCATACGTAGAGAACCTTGTATGAGTAAACGAATAGCCTTACAAATAATCTTTATTCTCGGGGGAAGAGACTTTTAAAGGATAAAGCAGCACCTATCCCCAGCTGTTCTTTTGTGATCTTACATACATACACACACGTCCCCTGCTCAAAGCAGTCTCCTGATCTGGCTCACCAGCTCAAGGGAAGGAGGGGGTACAGTTGTGTGGGATAATGACAAAACCTGAACTTTTGCCTAAGTCAAGACCATTGTTTACCATGACACTCTCTTTGTCCTTCTGGGCAACTAGCAAATTCCCCCTTCAGATATGCCAGGAGAAAAGGATCAGAGCTTTTATTTCCCTTCCTGGTGACGCACATTCTCGTCACCATCTTGTTGGAGTGGAAGGAGGAGTTTAAAACCTGTACCATGGGCATAAGGAAGATTCTTCATGTTGATTTATTTGGTGCAGGATTAGATTCCTAATGACCTAATTTGGCAGCATGAGACAAATGAGACAGAAAGTTTGTAGATGTGCTTGGAAAAAAGCTTCACACGGCCGAGTTAGGTTTCCTGGAAAGGTTGTGGAATCTCTGTCCTTGGAGACAATGAAAACCCAGCTGGGCATAGTCCTTGGCACCTTGCTCTAGCTGCCCCTGCTTGAGCAGAGGGTTGAACTAGAGGGATCTTAGAGGTCCTTCCCAAAGTGAACTGAAAGTAGTTTAATGTATCTTACCTTTTCTGTTGGTTGCCCCATGACAAAAATAAAAGTTATGTATCCAGACATCAGAAAGTAACCTAGCTAATACACATGATGTAAAGGTATTAAACAGCTTCAAGAGACTTCAACTGTTTGAGAGGTATAGGTAACCTTAAGAAAAATTACTTAGGTCAAAGAAAAGTTTCATGACTGTCATGTCTTGTGGCATTGTTGAAATTCTGAGTGGACTTGTGTTCTAAGTACAGTTGACTAATCCATAGAAACGTATACGACTCTTTTCAGCGCAAGAAACACATTCCTTATCGGAACAGCAAACTCACTCGTCTGCTGAAAGATTCCCTTGGAGGAAACTGCCGGACAATAATGATAGCTGCTGTCAGTCCCTCCTCCTTGTTCTATGATGATACCTATAACACTCTGAGGTATGCAAACCGAGCCAAGGATATCAAGTCTTCTGTGAGTATATTTGTATTTATTGATCTCTTGTCAAAGTATAATAGTACAGTATTAAGAGAAGGATAATTATTTCTTTTGGAATATTATATTTTCCTTTACTTTTGTCTCAGTTTTGTTCAGTTATCTCTTCCTTCTTACAGACACCTCTTCCTTATATGAGTGATAGATGTAGTAGGTACAGACTAGATACTAGATCTGGCCTAAAAGCAGCATAGCTTCGTTAATGAGAAGATGTTGCCAGTTTGAAATAGTTTGTTTAGGGAGCATGAGATTGAGGAACAATCCTCAGCTGGTAGAATTCACATCTGTTTTCAGTATCTTCTTGTTACTTTCTTGAAGAACTGTGAAGTATATTAAAGATGTGTCTGACCAGTTGTACAAGAGCCAGTCCAGGTTTGTTACAAGTAGCTTCGGCTGAAGCCAAGAAGTTCAATGAGATTATATTGACAATGAGATTATATTAATTATATTGATAAAGGAAAAGCCACCAGAATGTCCTGTCTTCTGATCTCTATTGTTTTGATTTTTTTCATAATCTTTTTTATTGTAGCTCCTAATTGCTTTTATGTAATATGGGGTTCACTGTAGTTTCCTTTTGTTGCATAATTAAAGATAGTTTTTATAGTAAAAGCTATAAGATATACATTAGATGGTCAAACTAGTCTGAATAAATGCAAAATGTGCTTGCACATGTAAATGTAATTACTTTTTATCGTTCTGTTGAGCAAAATTACTTGGCCATGGGTGTACAACAGATGACAGCAAAAGCTGAGAGTCATATTTTTGTTGTGCAAGTCAGGATTGTATTCATCCCTTTCCTCATAATACAGTGTATGTCTAACTATGCAGTAATTATACACAGTGTATTTATTATGCATGAAAACATGAAGGAGCCACCTTAAATTCTTACTTATTTCTTTACAGCTAAAGAGCAATGTTGTTAGTTTGGACAGTCACATAAGCCAGTATGTTAAAATTTGCAACGAACAAAAGAAAGAGGTATGTAAAAAAAAAAAATCTGTTGTTTAAAAGTTTGAAAGATTAACTCTGAATACCAAAAAAAAAAGTATATATGATTCAACCTTAAAGGCAGTATTGTCCTAATTCTCCCATATAGTATTTTAAAGTAAGAAAATTTTATCTTCTGAGAGGAATATTACCTACTGCCATTTATAAAGCTGTTCAACATACCAGCACAGAATGCTAGGTTTGAAAAAAACCAAAAAAACCTATATCCCGACTAAAAGGTGCCTCTTTTGGTTTAGATCCTAATGTTGAAGGAGAAACTGAGAGAATATGAAGAAAAGCAAGTAAGCATTCCTGAAAACTATGATGCTGCAGAACTTTCAAACAACCAGCAAGTGGAAATAGAAAGGTAAATGAATCGCATCTCAGTCTTGCTTCCCAAACGGAGCTTACCTAGCTTGGAAACGCATTTGTAAAACAAACTTGCTCTTTTCAATATGGATTTCCTCATTTTAACATTGCTTTACTTAGACTGGGTATGGCTTTGCATAATGTGCTGCTTCTTTTTTAGAGCAACTTGGTGGTGGATTTGAAACGAAAGGGGGGGATGCAGGAAATGAGATGTGACAGGAAGGAGCATATGAATGCTGGCTTCCAGCAAAGCTGCTTAACAGGTTGTGTTTGTGGGTAGGCAGAATGGAGTTTGCATAAATGACAGCAGCTCTTGCTACTGTTGGCAGACACGACTTCAAGTAGTATCTTTCCTGCAAGGTTTGAGAGACAAAAACCTTGAAGCTCTTCTCTCTACGAAGAGTTTAACGTATGTTTGTAGATTCCTTATTTTCTGTGGCTTTTATATTTCTTGACCTCTCTCTCCTCTTGATATTCCTGTTGATCTTCTCTCATGGGGCTGTCTCAAGAGAGCCCACAAAAAGTGACAAACTAAGATGTGAAGTATCAGTTTGTTGAGGAAGTCAGTCTATTCCATGAGAAGGTAAGATGTTGGTGCAAAAGTCTTTCTGGATCTGTCTCTGCGTATCTCATCACGTATTTCTGGGAATTATTAACCTAGGTTGATTCACTTAGCTTTTTTTAATTGGCCCTTTGAATGTGCTGGTTTTTAACCTGGGAAACCTGCTGAGGTGAAGTAAAAACCCATTCAAAAGCAAAATGTTCTCTAACTATGCTTTGTTTTACTGGCATCCCAGGCATTTCAATAAACTTTCTCATTCAGGTTATTTAAATTTAATTTTCGAAATAAGTGTGGGCTTCTAAGTCATGTTGATAGTTCTGACAGTTTCCCTGCATATTTTTGCACTGTATGTCTTTAAGATTGATTTAATTTCCTGTGATTTGCCCTTTATTTCATTCCTTGTGTGTGGGAAGAGTCAGTCAAGGGCGAGGTCTCTAAAATATCTTTTCAAAATGCTGGACATATTCTATGCCAAGATTAGTTGGTCAGGGAATGTTTGCATTTTAATGTTATGGCATATCCATAGAGCCACATGTAAGCCTATCCTATTCCCTCTAAATATCAGAAATAAAGTGAATATCTCATTCTGTTCTTCCTCATGAATATCCTGTCAGGTTCATCCTACTGATGGTGTGGGTGATGAGTTGATTTCTCCCACGTTCACTTACAGGCTTTGAAGGTATTGTGCTGCCTTCTCCCTCTTGTTTGGGGCAGGAAAGAGTCTTATCCATGAGCTTGTATTTCAGTCCAACTACCCATGGTTTTTGCTTCACTGTCATCTGAAAGAGACTCACTGAGTATTGCACTTGCTTCTTCAAACCCAGAAATCATTCCTTCTCCATCTGTCTGAGGCTTGGAGTCGTGTTGTCTGCCAGCCCTTCAAGTCTTAAGCCTGTTGAGATAGACAATGGATGCTGGCTTTGGAGCTACAACCAACAGGTCCATGAGCACTTTGAGACAAGGCAGTGTAGAGGGTTCTTACCCTGCAGGATAACTTTGTAATTTTTCAAGGGAAGAAGAGAGGGTAAAGCTAACTCCATAAGAATAGAAGTGTGCTTATTGAATGAGTGAATCCAGCTCAAGGCAGGAACTTTGCAAAGGCCTCTATACTTGATGCTGTATTTGGGGCACAGATGATTATAGGTACACTTTTACTGGTAATAGTTCTTCATGAGGACTGTATGTAGAATCAGGATGTGCACCCTCTCCTAAATTATGCCCAAGTTTTTACTGTGAGGGAAACAGAGGGAGGATTCACTTGGATTCCTTATTGCTGTGTTTCCCAGGCAGCTGGGAGGAACTGTGTTTCTATGGATACTATGGAGGGCAAAAATTCTGCAAGCAATTGTGCAATATAGTATAGTAGTACAGATAGTAACAGTGTAGGGTAAGAACTCTGATACACTGCAGCTGACTTGCATTATCGTAGGATCTTTTAGGTTGGAAAAGACCTGGAAGATCATAGAGTCCAACCATTAACCTGTAATGGCTCCTTAAAGAAATAATACTTCTCTGTTTTAATATGCATTTTTACCTAGGTATGATAGCTTTCTCTGGACACTTAGGGAAAACTGCTTTATTTTTAAAACTGTGCAGAAGAATTCTTTTCTTAATTCTGTTCCTTTTTTAAAGGAGAGTAATAAAACACGAGAATAAAGGGCTCAGTTACTCAAACTTTAGACTGTGAAATAGAATTGCTACTTCTGAAATACTGGCAAGAAGTCAGTTACATGGCAAGAATGTCTGCAACTTGCTCTGTAGTTCAACCTTTGTTTAGCATTTTTACAATACTTAATTTTATGATTTTTTTGTTTTTATTGCTAAACACTGTAGCAACCTCAAATGTTGCATGTCTTTAGAACATTTGCATGTTAAACTGTGTCTTTATTCTTATGTAGAGTTCTAACAACATAGGATGTTATGAAATGCTTTGTATGCAAGTTGGTCATTATTGAGATATACTACAGTGTCTTCTGGGCTGTTCTGTACTGTTGCATTTTCAGTGCTCAGGAGTGAAGTGAACAAGTACCACCACTGAAACTTATGTTGCAACGTGGCAATGCTTCCAGAGTTTCTCCTTATCCTTGTTATTCTGATTTGTGTTGGAGAGTAGGGATAAACAGATAACTGATTACTCAATAACTCCTTGAGTACCATCTACTAGTTTGGGTTTTCCCTGCTATTAGCCTGCTATGAGTTAAAACATGGTCCATGTTCTGATTTTTGTTGTCCATTAGTGATTAAAATTGTACAACAACTTCAGGGAACGTGAGCAACTAAAGACTTTCTTGGTTCTCCTTTTTCGAGAGATAGCTGGCAGGTTTTTTGTGTCTATGGCAGCAGTGGTCTGATCTGTTTAATAAATTGGTATAAAAAGTAGAGAACATGGCTATTTAGTATCTTTGGGAGGTACAGATAAAATTTATGTGAGAAGTTTCAGATGCTTTTCTTTTAAATCCCAGTGTAATCTTCATAAATACAACAAGATTTATTTTTAGTGACCCCTTAAAAATTTCACATCTCATTTTCAGTTCAAATACATAAAAGCATTTCTGATATATTGACACTTTATTTAGTGTTCATATATAACAGGCTTCACTTATTTCCTCTTAAGTTCTTTATATTTATTTTATTAACTCGGAATTGAAATATCTGCTTCTAAATGAGATGGCCATAAAAAGTGTTCAGTAAGTAATTAATTATTTATTCTTATCCTTTGGTTCTAGATACAAAGAAACCCTTAAAAATGTGTTTGCAAACCGTGAGGAAATCAGAAAAGAATACCTCAACATGGAAAAGAAACTGAAAGAAAACACACTGAAGAAATACTACCATAATCAATGTCATGAACAAATTCGACTGATGTGCTCTGAAGAAAAAGTAGAAAAGGTGGGTTTTCTATAATGTACTGCAAGGTATCATCTCTTCATTTTGCTATATTCACGTGTATATTTTGCTTAAGTAATTATGCAATGAGTTAATTTAATTAAAATGGGACACACTGATTATCACTTCTCTATGACTATTGCATTAGTAACCTGATTTTTGAGGTATTCAGCAGAGTGTAGTTGTCCTCTGAACAGAAAGAGTACCCTTTCCCTTGTTGGGACTTAGAATAGTACCTCATTCATATCCAACTTGCTGGGTTTGAGCCTTTTGGTTGCCAGATTTCGGCAAAACATGGGAAGAATTTGATCCTTGCAGATAGAGGATTTTCCTGTTGCCCAATATTTTATTTATCAGGGTTTTTCTAGGACACATTCAAGAAAACAAAGCAGATAAAATTGCTTCTTCACTTTCATACTTGAGTAACTAGGAATTATTTGTTTGTGTTACATAAAAATAAGGAAAAGAAATCTTTACATAGAGAGAGAGAGAGAGAGGATTTGGTAAACATAATCTGAAGGTTTTCCCCTCAAATGCTAATTTCTTTTTTTTTAATTCTTTTTTTTTCAGGCCACTTGCAAGCGGGATCAAAGGCTTGCAGTTCTTAATATCCACTCTGTGCACATGCAGAAGAAAAAAGAAGAGGAGGTCAAACATTTTGAGGAAAACACCAAATGGCTGCACCGTGTTGAAAATGAAATGCGTCTTCTGGGTCGAGATGGGTGTATTCCAAAGGTAGAATGCCTTTCACTTTGTCAGGGTTGGGGATGGGGAGGAGAATTGGAGAAAGGGTAAAACCTATGAGTTAAGAACAGTTTAATAATTGAAATAAAATGTGAGTATACAGAAAAAAAGGCAAAGATGTCTTTGGGCTTGCATAGATAAGCATGTGCCTGTTGGATTCTTAATGCACACCCACCACTGGTCAAAGGAATCTACAAAGCAATACTTATGCATGTGAATAAAAATCAAACAGTTCATACTTTTCTGCCATAAAACTTCCTTATCATAATACAGCTCCACTCCACATTTACTTTTCAATATTGGTTGAATTAATATTACTTTTAGCTTAAATTTTAGTTTTTCCCTATCAGTTTGATGTGCAGTTGTTTGATTTTTGTTTTTTTTCTTCCCAATTCCCCAAAGGAACTTCGTCAAGATCTGCAGTATTGCCATTTAAACCTGGAAGTTCAGGACCTGAAAGCACAGATTAAGCACATGTTAGCTCTGGTGTCCCTTCAAGACCAGTATTATAAGCAAACAGAAAAGTAAGTATGGTTTCATGGCAGGTGTGATAAGACTTTATGTTCTGACCCTTATAACTTCAGAAGACCTATTCAGAGAATTTAGTTTAAATTGAAACAGAAACGAGATTTATTTTTGTTTTCTGGGTAAGAATTGTGTTTACTTAAGCCAACTTGTCTTGCCTCTTGCTGTTTTACAGAGTACTAAATACTTTGCTTCCCGTTCTTCGCAAGCAACACCTGACTTTGAAAGAAGCTGGGTTGACAAATGATTTAACTGAGACTGAGTTTGGGGAGGTGGAGCAGCTTATTCAGAGACAAAAATCAGTAGCTTGGGCTGACCAGACTGAAGAAAAGGATCAAAATCAAAACCATGAAGTAGACATGTCAGCTATCTTTGCATTCCCACAGCTTGTGAGCAGACCAAACACCCCGTGCCGTAAGTGTATAATTAATTTGTTCTCTGTTGGAAAAACTTGTAAATGTGTTCTGCAGAAGCCAGATGTCATCCATAAAGGCAGTGGATGCACACTTCTGCAAATATTGAAGCCAGATGTAAAATTGAGCCTCAGACTCTTTCTATAAATCATACACCATTCTTAATTGAACATAGAAAAGAAGTTGACTTTTTCAATGACTTTTTCGGTCACACTGCAACAGATGACTCCATCCTCTTCTTCTTGTTACATGTATCAATGTTTGTAGATCCTGTGAGTGCTATTAAGAGTTCCATTTAGATCTTTCAGATTACATTGATGGAAAAGGAATCATAGTGTCAGTCAGTTTATAATTTTGTTGGACTGATTTGAAATGTTAAGCAAGTACTACAGCTTTGCACAATTTCTAGTGATAGCCTTGAGGGAGATGATATTTTGTATTAATTACAAGTTCACCTGGAATCAATTTAGTACAAAACTTTATTTTTCCAAGAATCAAAGCATTCACCATTTCTACCATGGAATTGACTGTTTTGCTGTGTCCTGATGGCCCCATTTTTCCTCTGTAACTCTACATAGCTGGCATTTGCTTCTTTAGGTGTGAACTGAGTTGCCCTGGAGCATAGTCTGGGTGAAAAAAGGGATGAAAAATCCTTATGCAAGGTGCTGTTCTGGTGGATGACAAGCAAAATCTCAACCTTTAGTGCAACTGCTTGTCTTGTGCTCTGGATAGACAGCACACAACACACTGGGACTTTCTCATTACAGCTGCTAATCTATAACATTGACAGACATCCATAAGTAACCAGGGAAAAACAGATAAATATTACTTCAGCTTCTCAAAAGCTGGTAGTCATAAAAGAGCATTAACCCCTGGAGAACTGTGAAACTAGTTCCCTCCTTTCTTTAGCTTTCTTCCTCTATACAGCTTGAGACTTATTTTGTCAAAACCATTTATTGCCTCTGTTCTGATTAAGTGTATATGTGATTTTTGGCATGTGTTTGTGTCACTGTAGATGATGCCAGATAGTTGATACCCAGTGTCTCACTGTCTGCAATGTAAAGGTCAGATTGTGTTGAATGTCAGACTGTTCTAGAGTTTTTTGGGTTTTTTTTGCATGAGTGGCATTTTTGGTTGATTTTTTAGTTTGGATTTGGTTTTCTTTTTAGTGTGTGTTTATTTTTGTGTTTTCAGAAAGAAGGGAAAGAAAGTTTGCAGACTTGCATGCTTAGATTTCTTATTCTGCCCATGCTAGTCAGGGATTCATTCAGCAAGGTTGAAAGTTATTTATTTTATATCATAGGCATATATTTTTACATACTGACTTTTTTTGCTTTTGGGGTACTTTTTTTTTTTTTTTTGACAGAATAGGTAGGGAGATGTACCCAAAGGCTAATCCAGAAGCTCTGTAATATCCTTTGTAACTAAGTATTGATTGTAGTGGCTCTGTTTTGTTATATGTGGGTTACCATTGTTGTGAATTTTAATTCCTGATGCTATAAGCTTTGTTAGAGTTCTTGATTAATCTGCTTCTTCTCCACCTTTCTTGAAGTCCTGTGTTGCAAGAGGCCTGAACTGTTCTTACTGAAATTAACACTAAAATGAGTATTTATTTAAATTCCACACAAACTGTTAAGACATGAACATTTCACTTCATTAAAATCATTGGATATTATTTGAGGGGTTGTCTTGAAAACCTTATGTGGAGGTTTTCCAATTATTCTCTCTTTCTAAATACTGTTTAACTGTACGTTCCCCTAAGTAAATGGACACCATAGTTGTCAGTTAAGACAGACTTTCTTTGACTTTAAGTTGTGTATTTGCCTGAAGATGTCCATGGAAATCTTTTTTTGGTACCGCAGTGATTTTTTTTTTGTTTGCGTCTTTTTTCTTTGGAAAAAGGAAATAGGAGAGGTTACTTTGACTCCTTTCCCTCTAATTAGATGCAGTATAAAACATGGCAGAAACAACTCCCCTAAAATTTTGTAACCTTTAAGGGAAGGTTACCTAAAATATTATTGGTGTTGATACAGTCGTATCAATACATCTTGGGAGCTGTGGTAGAAAAAAGTAATCCACTTATCAGTGCTTGAAATTTTTTTCTGTTCAGCACAAGACAAATGTAATTAAATAGCTCCTCTTCAATTGTGTGTTTGAATTTATATTTAAAATACGTTGAACTATTAAATGATATTGTCATGGAAATTAATTTCTTAAAAAAAAAAACCATAAGTCAGAAAAATTACATTAACATGGGGAAATACGAAGTAATACAAGGGCAGCATCCTGATCAGAAATAGGAAGGGTGTAGTAATTTCTCTTTTCCTTTAAAATGAAATAAATTATTCAAGAATCCAATTCCTGCTTCCTAAAGTCATTTCAGAAGTATGCTTGGCAAATGTTAGCAAGAGCTGACCTAAGAACTTAATGAACAAATATAAAGGAAGATTTATACGTATCCCCTTGCACCTCTGGTGCATTGATATTTTATTATTTATAATTTGTTCAAGATATTGGGAAGGAAGTAGTGTTTTGCTCCAAGATTGTTAAAAAAAAAAAAAAGAAAATAATCAAAAAACCACAGTGGTCATTATTACTTGTATAAAAATCCATATTTTAAATTTATCATATTTGCATGGACCTTCATCTTATCAGCAGGAAAGAGCAATGCACTTCAGTTTTTGTGACTTGCTTCTTATTTTTCGTGGTCTAAGTTGAGAGCAGTAATTTTTTTTTTAATCTCCCATTTAATGTATGTTGCCTTGTGTTAGTGTCTCGAAGTTTCTTTTCTAAATTTTTGGGGAGAGGGTACGAAAGTTAATTGGTGGCAATGTAATGTTTCATATGAAACGTAAGTTGAGCATCTAGACTGAGGAAGAGAGTGTCTACTAGTAACAAATGTGATGTATTACTTTTGAACACATTTGAAAGACTATTTTTTTTTTTTTGAGGTAAAATCCCTCTGCAAAAATGACATGGTACTTGTGTAGAAAATACTAAGCTTTACAAGGAAAATATTTGTTCCTCTTCACTGTAAGCTTTTGAAATAAATAATTACATCTCTTTTGTTTAAACTTGGTAGTATCTAGGGATATATGTAGTACATGTGCCTTATTCATAATTGGAAGTTCCAGTCACTAACAAACTACAAGTTCCTGTTTAGTTGCTGTGTGTTTAAATTGGCAGTGATTCAGAAAACCATCTGTATTTAAATTCAGCCAGTGCTGAATTCTGGGTGTTGCAGAACATGGGGCAGTAATCATTGCAGGAACTTTTTTAATGACACTAAACTTTTGCCTGCAGCTCTTTGAGAGAAGCATGACAATGTTCAAATGCAAATGAATTGTCATTGAGTGTTTTCACATAAAAATTAAAATGCTTTAAGTCACATAAATAACTTTTGTGATTATAAGCACCACTTCCAAAAGGCCAAAGCTGCTAAATCATTTCTGCAGAGTAGGAAAAGCTGTGAAAGCAGGGCCTTAATTTCTTATGTGTTCCTTTGGAATTAACTACATTGCACTAGCTGATTCTGAAGAAGGAAGTTAAACTAGTAGTTGATGTGGAAAAAGAACCTAAAAAGAGTAAAGAGAAGGATAGCAAAGGTAAAAGGTTTTTATTCTAGGTTTTGTTACAAGTCTTCAACAAAAATACGTTCTTGAAATGTATTCTAAATATTCTTACTTTATTGTATGAAGTGGTTTTGATATTACTTTATTAAGATCCTTCTATCTATTATTCTGTCCTTCTATCAGCAAAGAATTTGAGCTGATTCACAGTAATGCCTTAATCTTTGTTTCTAATGAAGACTTCTTCATTGGAAAGAGTCTCCTACATATTAAATAATATAAAGTCATAGTGGGGGAGGAAAAGATCAAGGTGGTCTCTGACCATCATTCAACATCTGTTTCTATGTCCAAGATATCAAGATAGTCCATCCTTGTGCTTAAAAACTCTTGATTTCAAGTGAAAGCTAATTAAAGTTCATATGCTTTGCCAAAGCACATGACAGGAGTTGACCACCTCCTATTTTGTTTTTCCTTTAAACTTTAAAACCTTTAAACACCTTCTGTAAAATTCTGACCTTAATTATAAATTAGAATTTTTTTTTTTGTAGAGAAAATATTAGTTTTCCCATATCTCTTTTTTTACAAATATGTCAAAAGTTTAATCTAAACTTGTGTATGCTTCATGTAACCATAAATGTGCAGTCTTACGAACAGTTTAACTGTTTGTATCAAGGAAAACACAGGCTATGAAAACAAGTTCATTTAAAAATGTATTCAGGTGCCCATTCTTGAGTGTTTATTAATGGACAGCCATACCGTATTCAGAGTGTGGACTGATGGGTGGAAAGCTCTGACTGGTATTTGCAAGTATTTCTGTGAATGGGAAAGTTCTTGGCATTGTTTCAGGTATCCCATTTCCAGAAGCCTTACTGTACATTACCATTGAGAGAATGGAATTGATTTATAGGAAAGTAAAAAAGAAAAGACAAGGCATTCATTGCCTCCCCTTGTCACAAACATCCGAAAGTAAAGTCAGTTTTCTACTTGGTATGGCAGGAAAAATTGGAGTGTAATTGTACATAGTAAAAGACTTGATTAAAAGTAGAAGTGTGTGTCTTGTGTATAGGAAAGAGAAGCCTTTTCACATTGTCTTATGTGACTTCTAAGTATTTTTTCTCATGCTGAGTAAAATAGTCCCAGATCACTGGGACTCACAAGAATGCAGCCTGCATTTTAGCCTTTTTCAGTTCACAGCTCTTGCCCGTGAACCTGTAGTGAAATTGGTCATCACAGTGATGCTTTTGAGTATGAATATTAAATAATTGAAATGCATTGACCAGACCTCATTTGCAATTTGGAATTCCATGAGTCAGTTGTTAAAAGAATGAAAATGTATGATTAGTATTGTAATTGGATCAATCAGTGGTAGCCCAGAAATGTTTATTGAAATGAATACATTAATATTTGATATCACTTTAGCAGAACAACCTGGTAGACTTAATTTAGCACAGTTTCCAGACATAATCCCCTTATGCATGTTATTAGCATGAGTTCTAGAAGAAGAGAAGTCTTGGCCGTTATTTTGTCCCTAATGTCAATTAGAACTAACTCAGTTCATGAGTTGTTTTGTCATGAGCTCTGCTCACTTTGGCTGTGACTCATGTTTCACAGATAGTGCGTTCTGCTTTTTGTATTAACACACGGGGCTGTAGATATCTAATATTGCTGTCTTTCTTGTCCAATAAATCAGTACTTCTGAGCAGTGTTTTAGGACAGATGATACGACAAACTAAGGGCCAAAACCACCTCATATCATTTGGTGGGGGTGATTGGTTAGTGGAGGATGGCTTTTGCTTTTGATTTCTGAGTAAACCTCCTAAGAAAAACTATACCTTAAAGAATTCTGACAATTATCTTATATAAACATCAGCCTGAAATTAAAGATCAGCAAATAACACGATCTATTACCTAAAATATATTTGGCATAATGCTTAGTTTTAAAGAGAAGCATTGTAGCTGAAAGCACTATCTAAGGAAATATAACTTCTAAATTTTTCTTTTAAGCAACTCCATCAGGTTAACTGCTGATGTTTTTTAAAGTATATGGTGATTCATTTTTGTGTATGAAATAAAAAATAATATTACTGAATCATGATTATCATTATGATGCAAAAGATTGAACTGGTTGTAAAACTGTGAAGCAAATATAAACCATAAATGTAATTATTTATATTATGGAACAGGTTTGGAGATTTTCTTTAGAGTTGGAGTGTGTTGTTTATCTGTCAGTAGGGAAATAATGACAGCACTTAATGATTACCATTAGACATCCATTCAGGAACTATTTAGATTTGTTCTTTAAGGAAATACAAATAGCCCTACTTGGTCCACCACTGTATCATCTTCAGTACCATGTATTTAGCACTTTATGGGAGCAGTGCTTTTGTAGAACCTTTTGTTGTTTGAGCTCATTTTATTTAGGCTTCTCAATGGTAATTTTTAAAAGAATTTGCAAAAAAATTAGCAACTAGCTTCAAGATCTTGCTTCCTTCATAAGAAAACACTGGCAATCCTTTATATTCAAAATAAAGAAATGTTTTTTCTAGCTGTATTTTGGTTTACCTTTAGATCATAACTGTTTGGAGCCATATACTATGTAACAAGAAGTTAAACAGGAATTGGAATTTTGGGGTTGGTTTTGTCACATCATATTTGGTTTATGTTGTTTAGTGAAACCAAGTTAAATATGAGGTTGCTGGTGATGTTTGTTTACTTGTTTACTGTGTTAGGAGCAACCTAATATTCTCACAGAAAGCAATGGGAAGGGACACTTAAATATTTTACATGCTTTCCAAATTTTTAGAAATCAAATGGCTTTAAAAATGGGTGTTGGTTTTTAGTAACAGCTTATATTTGCCCTATACAGAATTGCTGTAACTAGTTATTAATTTACTTGTATTACAGCATGAAATGCCATTCACTGTGATGCAATTCATCAAATTTTTTATATTGGCAGTACTTTTCTGTTCTTTACGTATTTAGTTCATGATTTAAATGCTTGCATTTACAGTTAATTTAAAAATGCTTCCAATATTTAGGCCTGGAGAAGCTTCTAAGACTTGGCACTCCCACCAAAATGTTTCTCCATCAGACTTCCTTCTAGTAACTTTAGGACATTAGCAAAACCTCAGTGTCTTACAGTAAGCAAACTTTCTGAAACTGAAACCTCCCCGTCCTAATGTAACAACAGCCTAATAGAATTCTAACCATTATTTTTCCCGAAACACACATTCAGATGCATATAAGCAGGAGGAAAACCTAATAAATGAATATTTTAAATGTGTCCTGAGGCGTTTAATGGATAGTTATTTCGAACACTAGATCAGATGAAGCTTATTCTTGTATTTAAGACTATAAGCTGTCAAAAGTCTTTTTAAAAAAGGTTTTACCTTCAATGTTTGGTTGTGATAACTTGAAATTATTCTTTTTTTCAAAGATGTGTTAGTCTTTTACACTGAAGAATGTATTGTACTCATTAAAACAAAATTAAAAAGCAAGCACATTAATGAAGCATAATATTGTTGATAGTGTCAGAGAGCACATATTTTAAAATGTTCATAAATAAGTTTCTTGCTTGCTACTAACAAAGTCCTACCAAGTTTTGGAGAAATCTGTCTTCATCACAGTGGGCTTATGCTATTTTAGGGAAAGATTTATTGGGAAACACACAGGCCCTGTTTTACTACCCTTTCCATTCCACTGCTCATGGAGAATATCCTGAATTAGCTTAGTGTTTAGATTACAGTCAAGCTACTGTGTCCCAGCAACCTTCTGCATTTCCCCTGGTAAATGCTGACCATGGATTAGACAAGGTATTAGAAAATAACGTATTTTGCGTTTTATGAAAAAGAAACCTTGTACGTACGTGAATTGTACGTGGGCACACACATACACAAATTCACAATTCAGTTATTTCATGTCAGGTCGTCCTCTTGGGCCTGAGTCTTCCATGTATGTGTTTCTTCAAAGTGAAAGCAGCATAATAGAATTGTAATTGTTCATGTAATTGTCCAGATGTCTTTTCTCATAAACACTTTCTCTTAAATTAACCTGCCTTTCTTGCTTATGCACTGTTGGATAAGGTGTTACATATTTGTTGAACCATAGTGGTTTAAACATTGTTCATTCTGAAACTGAGCCCTTGAGTGAGGAATAAATGTTTGCTTTTTTTTGCAATGGTGTTGTCACTGAGTTAAGTTCTGGCAACACAGAATAGATTTGTGGCCTATATATTAGCATCTAATTTACTTGTTACTTGTACACACTTTGATACTACCTGTTCCCTCCTCCTAGAACAGGTCTGGGTCTCATTGTAGTCTTTAAATCCTTTGCTCTCTCCTTATAACTCTATTTTGTATCTTCTGATTGAGCATAATCTCATAGCTGGGCATGAGGAATCCATCCTATGGCGTGTCTGGTACCAAAGGGTGTAGGTGCTGGGATCATCCTTCATCACCTTTCCTTCAAAGAGGATCTTATTTGGGTCTTTTCTATGAGATATCTGATTTCTTGGGGAACTGGCATTCTTAAAGCATCTTGGCAAATTGAGTTGCAACTGAGCAACGAGGTTAAAATTAAATGGGGGCTGAGAAGTGGTAAACAGAGAAAAGACTACAATCATTTAAGCCTTGTTTTCTGTAAGAAATCAAACTTGTGGAGGTAGAATAATGCAATACATACGTGTTTCCAATCAATCCTCCTCCTCTTCAAAGGACTTTTTTGGAACAGCTAGAATGCCCTAAGTGCTAACACATGAGAGAGAACTATAGAAGCATTCAGTCTGAGGAGTTCAAAATAACTTTCTTACTCTGAGGCAAAAATAAAATGAAATTTTAGAAGAAATAAATATTTATCATCACTGCTGTAGGAATACCATAGCTAATTCCTGAGTAACGTGCAGCAATTTAAAAAGCAGGAGTTCTTTTTGCAGTTTAGTTGCTCATAGGCATGTAGTAGGCAATGCAGAAAAGAGAAGTATGGAGCTGTGGCTGCCAGCTGAAGTGGAGCCAATCCATAGGCATTTTAAGGATACTAGGCTTCATTTCTTAAATTTGCACTGGAAGTTAAATATAGAAGCACTTGGGGTTTTGACAACCCTCTCCTGCTCTTGATTTGTTTTTTAAAAAATTCCTTAATTTTTCGTTGTTAACTATGTAAGTCACCACTTGCCTAACTATGTGAACAGTGGACTGTGTCTTAAAATGACTCTCCTTTACTGAAAACTTGAATTAAAAAAGGCCATTTCTGTCTTACTTTGGACATTACCTTTACTACCACCTGCTTGAAAATAGAAATATTATAACATTTCAAGAAAAATGATTTAAATCAAGATGAATGAGAATGACCAGTTACTGCTACATTGCTTGCTTTATTTTTGAGGGCATGGGGAGGTGTTAAAGAGCTTTGCTCCACACAATTGATGAATTTGGATGACAGAAGCCAAGTAACTTCTTCGTTTTCCCTTTTCCAAAACCCTACATTCTCTTTTGCATGTCAGAGAATTTTGTCCCTCTTAAGTGGTTCTATGTCCTTCCTTTTACAAGAACCTCTCATTATTCTGCATGGTACCTGCTGAGGAAAAAATGGCTGTGATCAGGAGTCAGCTTAAATTACTGTGATTGTACCATCTTAAAATATGAGTTTTGTCATGATAATGTGAGCATTTTCAATACTCCTACTATTCCATTCCCTCTTGTCATGTGTCATATCTTCCTTGTGATTATTTATATTATCTCTGGGATTAACTACACCAACCTATGCATATTTATAATACTTTGAGTGTCACAGAACAAACACCATCTAGACCATGCTGCAATAGAAATAATTTCATTTATATGATCAAACTAATATGTAAATGAAATAGTGTTTGTAATAATTTCAGCTAAGTTTTCTAATAACTTCTGTCTCAGTAGGGAAGAGGAGGGAAAAAGCAAGATCTGAGCAGTAGGTATAGGTCGGTGTGGTAACCATTGTTACTTGTGTTTCACAGGTACCTCTTGTGGTACACCATCGCAGGAAATGACTAAAAATACACCAAAAGTGTTAGAATATACAGAACCACCACAGAAAAGAACGAGGAGGAAGCTAATGGACTCTCCAGTAGCAGCTCAAAGTCCAGCTGCATCCAAGCCATCCAGTCTGCAGCACCTGGAGGATTCTCTCGCCAAGGAAGTCCACCCCATAGTGTACACCCCGGAATCTTGCCGAAAGCCGGCACAGAGCTGCTGCCCAGAGGCTGTGGTAAAGAAGGCTCTGCACCTTGCAGGCCTCAAGGAGGTCAGTGCCCAAGGCACAGATACGCCAGTGCAAAAGGCCAGTGTTATGGACACGACACACGATGTGATCCCCGAGTGCAGCGAAGCCATCATGAACTCAACGATAATCCTCTACGAAGGCACAGAGGAAACAACTGAAATACCCACGTACCCACCCGTGAAGGAGTCACAGCCCTGCAGCAGTAGCATTGTGCAAAGGTATTTTCCTCATATGTGGGCAAGAAATATTACCAAATCATTTAATCCTGTGCATCTTTACAGCTGGGTTTTTCCATTTATGTCCATTTTTTTTGTAAATGCGGCGTTTTGAAAATCAAACCCTCAGTTTTGACCAATATCCGATTCAATTCTGCCATTATTTGAAAACAGTGGTGTGTTAGTGACAACAGATAAACTTGGAAGCTTATCCTATTTTATAAGATAGGTACTGAAAAGAAATAGAGCGCTTTTGAAATTGGTTGTGATGCTCCAGGCAAGCTGCTTCCTCTCAGCCTTATGTTTCTGGTCTGTAAAATGGACACTTAACCTCTCCACACTGAGAGATGCCATGCTTGTGTGAAGTCTGCAAAGCTGCCTCAAGTAATATCAGTGAAATGAATTTCCAGTTTTGGTTTCCAGCTCAGCATATATTTACAGTTAAGAACAAATTCACTTCACTTTCACTAAGAATGTGTTCTACAAAAGCATAATTCTTTTTTGGTCTCAAGTTGTACCAGGGGAGGTTTAGGTTAGATATTAGAATTTCTTTACAGAGAGGGTGGTCAGACATTGGAATGGGCTGCCCAGGGAAGCAGTAGATTCTCCGTGCCTGGAGATTTTTAAAAAGAGACTGGATATGGCACTTAGTGCCATGGTCTAGTAACCACAGTGGTAGTGGATCAAGGGTTGGACTTGATGATCTTGGAAGTCCCTTCCAACCCAGCTGATTCTATGATTCTATGATTTCAGGCTTGATCTCGCTTCCTTAAAAAACAAAAATTCTGCATCAGCATTTGAGAAGCCCTCATATATGGCAATGACTTCTGCTGCTCAGAGAAAAAGGAAGGTATTAAGGTAAGATTAAACGAACTCTTCTATACAAGATGAGTTTGTATTCATTTGTGTTCTTACTTCAGTTTCAGTATGACATTTCAAATCTGAAAACATCTTCTACAAGTCATCTGAACGTGCAGATGACGTGTTCTGATTCCAAGACATTTGAATTCAATTCAATTTTCTTTATTTTTCCTGGCAAGTTCAGTACATTTTCTTTTATTTTTTGGTTTTTTTAACTCTTGATTTAGGAACTTCTGTTTTAATAGTGACAAACCACTATGTCTTGTGTACCTGCTGCCTACTCAAAATAGAAAGATGACACATAATTCTGAAAAGAGAAATTCCATCATCAATTAAACCTCTGATTTGTTTGAAAATGTTCTGCCTTTGCTGGAACACATTAGAAAATACCAAAAGGTCTTTATATGATCCAGCCATCATTGCACATTAAAACAAAATAAGCCTTTTTCTTTTTTTTTACTATTATAATATGTATGCAACACTTGAAAAGTATGAAGAATAAACCTTACTATCAATTTGCACTGTTATTGTACTTTAACAACGTGTGAAAAGAAAAAGAATTATTACCATATAGGAAAAATTGGTCCATGCAACAGAAAGCAGAGGGAAAAAAAATATATGACAATACTTATTTGGTCAGCTTTTTTTTTTTTCCCAGTAATTAATTTTCAGTCCCAAATACTGTGGCTTCGTTCTTGTGGTCTGCTCTAGGAAAAACTTCCATATCATCACATCTGTTTTATGACCCTGAAAGAGGCTTGTTAGTAGGAACAGCAGAAAAGCTGAAACTGAATAGACACTAAGTAGAATTGTATTTTTGTGGGTTTTCTGTTTGTTTTTTGTGTGTTTTTTTTTTTTTAATTTATTTAAAACCTGATTAGCTACAAGGTCAGTACTGATGAAACAGCTTTTTGCTTTTTGCATTTTTTTCTTTCCTATTTTCTATTTCCAAAAGCAAATATTGACACAACCTTTTTTTAAAATCATGTTATGAGTTGCCAGACAGTGAGTGGAGCTACCACCATGTGAGTCTTCTGAAGAATATTTCAGGACTGTAGGAACAAGTTCTATAGAGAGGTCACAGGATGTGGAAGAAACTTAAGTACCTTTTTTTAAATTATCAACTTTGAGACAGAGAATCTTCCTAGAAGATCACAAATCCACCTGGTCCAGTTTCATGTTGCTGTTCTAATTGTTATCAAATACTGTTCTAAGCTGTTTTGCTTGGACGAGAAGTAAACTGTATTGCTCTAGAATGAGAAAAGAGGCACTGCTCAAACTTCCTATTTTTCAAATAGCTCATTATGAATTTAGCAGAATAAATCACGTGCTCTCTGAAACCAAGCTAGTTTTTTCTAGATTCCTTTAGGGAGAGGTATTGGAACTTTTGGAGCCTGATTTCTCTAGTCCTAAGGTAAAAGTTCCAAGACAAACTTTTGGACTACTCTTTTTGTAATAACTATGTAATGATTTCAAGACATACAGATGCTTATTTCTTCCCAGAAGACTAGTTCTTTCTGCTCATCTTGTTTCTTCTGTGTCTCAAGCACGTATTTCCCAGTTCTGAAGTTAGAATACCACTACAGGAAAATCCCACAACTTTTTATTCCTTTTATAGGGATTATTTCTTCTGCCTCAGACTGTAAATTGTCTGTAAACCAAAATTATTTATGGTTTTGTCTAGTGGTTGGTGATGAAGCAAAGGAATGAAAACTTATTTGTGAAGGAGGGAAGGAATATGCTCTTATTTTTCAGATAGAGCCTCCTTTCCTTTCTCTTCTTTACTTTTTCCCTGTTTTCTCTCCAATGCTGTCCCTGTTTGAAGTGGTTCACTCATTCAGCTCCTACTCACATTAGAATAAAAATTTAAATTTCAGACATATTGTCTACCTTAGAAATATAATTTCAAACAGTCATATTTTGAGGATAATGGATAAGAAACAAGTCAGTCGTAATAGAGACTACTTTACCAAATCACATTAAATCCTTGTTGGCATAAGTTCTCTTCAAGAAGTAAGCATGAATAGATTTTTAGGACTGGCACAAGGCAAATCTTAGTCTTTGCTGCTTGCTGTATATTTTCATTTAGGCAGGAAATTATTATTAAGAAAGTTAGTGTAACTTAGGGGACTATAAAGTGGTAATAATACAATATTTATTATGGGAATAGGAAAAGCATAGAAACTTGGGATGTAAATACAATTAGCTTGTTTATGAGGCTGTCTTGCAGAGTGGAACTGAGGAAGTTAGTGAGGCATTGCAAAAGGGTGAGATCAGATAGGTTCATAATTTTCACTGTAGGCCTTAAGTCCATCACATAAAAGGCTTTAAAATATAGAGGTTTTGTCTTAATGAATTTGAAGCTATAACAGCTTTCTTGCAGCTTAGCTAAAAAGTATTGTCTGCCATGAAGTCACCCCCTCCAACTGTGTTGGAGGCTATAGAAAAATTATTGTAGCAATAAAAAAATGTGATTTGTTCCATAAACACAGCTTGGTCACTTCAAAGATTTCGTAACACGCCTGAAGATTATTTCTTACTATAATTTATGTGTGGTGACCACCAAACTGGTTTCTGTGATTTCCAAAAAAAACTGTGGCATATTGTTCTGCATTTTGACATTTAATTGGCAAGGTTAGTTCTTATTTTCACAGTTTGAAACATTCTTGTAAATTTTTAAAGAGGGAAAAGGGGACTAATATCCCTAGATATGCACAATAAATTAGTTTCTTCTTAGCGTTCTGTTATGATTGGATAATATCACTTAAAGTGTTTCTGCGTAGCAAGGCCTAAACTGCTGTACTACAGCTTAGTGACTGTACTGAAGGGAAACTCTTTGCTGGCTCCTTTTGCAGTTCCACATCCAACACGGTGTCGGGCGGCCTGCAGGACCCCGTGGCTGCGAAACGCCTCCGACAGGACATCCTGTTGGGCCAGGCAGCTCTGCGAGTGCCCCAGGGCTCTGGTAGGTGTCAAAACTTGAGTGTCTGACGCTGCATTGGTGGCTGTTTGTTTGTTTAGGAGGTGCGAAATCAAGGTGGCTGCTCAAGGTTTTGTTAATTCGACAGCACGTGTGGCTGTGTTAGCACACTGAGCCATGGGTTTGAATAGTGTATCCATTAAAAACAAACATCTCAGTGTCCAACCCGGTTATCTAAGTTGATATCTAAGCAAAATTCAACATTGCTACGAGGTCGTTGGGAAAACCAAACCTAAAATTGTTTGGGTACTTGTTGAGAGATTTGGTGAACTTTATTAGCAATTTTGTCTTTGCACGAGTGTGGTTTATCAAGAAGTAAAATCCTCGAATAATTACCGTACCTGCTTTTAATTGCTTGCTTTGTTTTACGACACCACACTGATTTGTTTTAACAGATAAAGGTTTTTTTCGGAGATCTGTTGCTTAAAATTTGGGGCTATTTTGGGCAAAAACAATAACCGAGGAAAAAAATTATTTTAAAGCAATATATAGGAATTATTTTACTTGTAATATATTGCTGATAAAAACACTGGCAAATTCTGTGGAAGTCTGCTAGAATTACACAGCCTCTCTCTGGGAGAACTGTAACGAAATGAGTTACAAGTACTTTTTTCAGACCAAGTTCACAAATGTCTTTTGTTCACAATTTTATAAAAACCTCTGCCTTTCCTAGTGCATGGCACTAAGTTGCTTGGCACCTGCAGCAGATTTTAATGCACTAAATGCTTACAATTTTCATTTCATCTCTACCCAGTTGACTCCTGTCTCTATCTTCAGAAATACGTTTAATGATCTTATTGGGCTGTTAAGAGGAGCTCCAAGACAGTTTAAAGTTTTAGTCTGCTGTTCTTATGGAATAGCACAGGCAATACACTGGTTTTTACAGCACACACATGTTTTTAAATAAAAACTGATGTGAGGGAGCAAGTGTATATGAAAATGTGTTGTTTTGCATTCATGAGAGATGTTGAGGTTGTATTACAGTAAACTTTCTAGAAACTGAAAATCTGATTCTAAGCTTTGCCTAACAAATAGTTATTATTTGGCAAAGTGCATGCACAGTTACATCATTATCAATATCTGTTACTAAAGACTGGGTTATGAAGTTACCAAAGGCAATCACTACTCAGGAATTAAGAAACTATGTAATGAAGCACCACAATCTGAAATAGGGAATAGATTTTTGATTCTTCAGAGTTCAACTGAACATAAAATACAATTTATTTTCAAAAGAGAAGAATAAACCACAACTAAATTCCCGAGAGGAAGAGCTGTTTTCAGATTAAATAGACAAAACTTCCTCTAATGGCATAGTATTCATTTTTCAATACTATTCTATAATAGTAAGGACTAATAACATTTTTGCATACTTCTACATCTTTGTGTAGACCACTGTGCCTTTTTAGTAGCATCTCATGTCAATTGAGGGTCTAATCACTGGACTTTCTAAGCAATTAACACACTGGATTACTGAGCTGAGAGTGATTATATTTTTATGCATCAAAATTAGGCTTTCAATAAGGGCAAGAAATATGTGTCAAAATTCTTAGGCATATTCTGAAAAGGAGGTCCAGGTTGGCCAAATTCTACTTATGTTTATTGAATGAGTGTCTCCCTATTTCTAATAGCATTTCTTTTTTCATTAGAAATGAAAATGAAGAGCAGGAAGCAAGAACAGGATATGCCAAGAAACTTCCTTAAAAGCCTTTCTCAAGGAAATGTCACACTGGGCCTTAAATCAAGGACATCAAAAGATCTTTTACTTCACGTTTCCAAGAAGAAAAATAGGATTTAGTTCTGAGCTCTTCCACATTTGAAGCAGGACTGATGGATAGCAAGTGAGAAGAGGGTGACTTTCGTTTTCCTCTTGTAAATAACTGAGAATTTTTTCAATGCACGTGTTAGAAAACTTGGTTTGACCCCCTAAATTATTTTCGTTGGAGCTTCCTTATGTTAAAATTGTTTTTCATTTGGAAGCAAATAACAGCTGTTAATATTAGAACACATTCATGCTCAGCACTAAGATGCTAGTTTATCTTTAGATTTTTAGCATCTATTGATGATAACATATGTAGTGCCAAGAGACAGAAAAATATTTACAAAAATTGTTTTTAATTTTTTTTGTCTTTCTGGTTTTTAGCCTGTTACTTGGTTTTAAATATTTCTGTTCTTTTTTTTTCAATTTAATTCAGCTGTAAATAGGTGTGTTAATTACTTCAAATAAATTTTTACGTTCATTAAGAGCAGTATAATGTGAATTGTGTTTCTAACAAAAATGTATTTTTTTTTCCTCTTCTCTTATGAAAAATGTCTAATTTTGACAAGTGCTGTTACATTATAAACTACATGTATTTGTATCTTCTAGTAAATTACTAATATTCAGAAACAGAGTAATTTATGTATAGTTGTATTGTAACCTTGACAGTCTTCCTGGCCTTAGGAGCATTGTTCTAGTGTGTTTGATCTGGGCAAATGTAAGCATATGAATTTCCCCAAACTAAGGAAAACCAGAGGAAGAAGTCCAGTAACCAGAGGCAGCTCTCTGAAGCCAAGGAGCTTGCAGCCCAGCCATGAAGTACACTGCAGAATTTACTCTTGACACATTGGAGGGACATTTTTCAGGGGCTTCTGAAGAAGGAAATGGGAACTGCCTGTATAAGCTTTCAGGACCACTTCTGGGAGGAGCAGGCAATGTTGCAGAGGAAATCTTCCCTGGGGAAGTTCAAAGAGGAAGGAGTAATTCCTTAAGAAATAGGCATTACAAGTTAAAAATACCAAGCGAGATGAAAGGAACTGAATCCTCCTGTGTGCATTTTAAAGGGATATAGGTGATATTGTTGTGGTGAGCACAGGATCATACTGGTAGTGTGATGAGAACTGAGAAAATATTGGCTCTGGAAAAGGCTTCTATGAACGTAGTTCTAAACCTAAAAACTAGAATTTGGGACTTGCCTGCTTAGCAAGGTGATGTAATTTCAGTAGAATTAAGGGGGAGGGTCATTTTAATATTTTCCTATCATAATAAACAAAAATGTTGGAGTTAATTTTATTATTTTGGTGCCTCATACAGCTAAAGTTGTAGAGACCATTTTTTATTTATGGGATCTCTTTCAAATTCTTAGTGTTTAATATAAAACGTGCACAGGGAGCTTGTTTTATTGGTACTGCTTCACATCTGCAAGAGACATGTTGGGTTTTGCTTGTAAATATAGTTGTGACATTTGTTGCTCTTGTGGTATGTAAGACACATAAATGTTCATAGCTGTTTTGAAAGATTTTTAGACAGGCTCGTGCATGCACCATTTTGATAGTCACAACATAAAACTGATGGGATCTCATCCTTTCTTCATGTGTTCTGCATAGCCTTGAGTGGAATTGGTTCAACTGACTTGCAACACTTTTCCAGGGACATAAAAAAAAAAAATATGTTGAGGAAATTACCACACTGACACGAGAAGTGATTCCATCAGATGTTGATTATACATTTGATAACTAGGTATGTATAACTAGCATAAACAAAATGTTTCCAGAGATTATAGCAGATTGAAGCAGGATTTTTGTATTTTAGATTGCTGTTGAGTAATATTCTGCGCTATTGTACATTTATTTTGTTACATAATGTGAACACATCTAGACTTCATAAGCAGGAAGTGCTTCAGAGCACATTCAACACACAGTGCTGACACAGAACTTTTCAGAACTTTTCAGTGCCTGATAACTTCTTGTCAGATTGCCAGTTAGGTAGAAGGCAAAGAGTATTTGGGAAGCAGTGGAGGTATGGTATAATTAATTTCATTTTCTTGCCAATCAGCTTTGACTGTTACCTGTTGGCCTGTCTTTACAAACTGATTTAAGTAATAGTATTTATCTGAAGTATACATTTCATTGATTTCACTCTGTCATGCCATGCATGGTTAAATCATGTCGGTGTCGCAAGTGTGAAAGGGATGTTAAGATCTCGTTCCACTGGGAAATTCTTAGGAAAACAGACAAAGGCTGTAGGGTATAGTTTGTACTGTGACTCATTTGCTTGCTTATTGTCATTGCAGGAAAGTGAATTTATAGGAGCTATGTGAAGCACAAGCTCGAGAGGCTGTCAATATTCCTTACTGGGGATGGAGCTGGATACAGGAGAAAGAACAATGCAGTTGTTTGTCATTGGGGCTGTAGGGACTGTGCCACTTATAACTATGTTACCCTCATAGTAAACAAAGACTTGTGCAAACTCCTATCCAGAGACACCTATAGATTTCTAGAGGTTATACAAAATGGTGTGATTCTTGGGGCTGTCCTGTGCAGGGCAAAGAGTTGGATTCTGACGATCCTTGTGCATCTCTTCCAACTTGGAATCTTCTGTGATTAAGATCACACATGAAAATCATATCTGCTGTCCTGTCAAACTGACAAAGCACAAGAACTTGATTGGATTATTAGGAAAAGTCGTTTTTTGGCGGTGGGAGAAGTTTCCATAGCAGTCTGAAGGTAATGAGGCATCTGCTCATTGGAACGAATGTTTTGGGATATCCTCTGCTGTGGCAGCTGAGTCTCTTGCAAGTTTTGGTACTTTGGCTGCAGAAGGTAGCAGGTACTATTTGGAAAGCTGACAACATAATGGAAAAAATAGATTTATGTTGGCAAAGTGGTGCACCATGGAAATCAGTTGGACTCCTCAGTAGTTTTCTTTAACTTTGATTGGCTTTTAAAAAATGTGAGTCTGTAAACAGGCATGAGGAAATTAGTTTTAGAGAAAGTAAACATTCTTAGAAAATTCATCCACTAGAATTGTAAAATATGTAGTGTTCCCTGCAGGAAATTGCAAGAGCTGCCTTAATAGAGAGTAGATGTAATTTACATTTACATGGCCCATTTCATTTTTCTACTGTGTAGTGCTCTTGGAAAAATTATTCCTGATTTCCCTGTTGTTTTAAGTTTAATTGTGGTATACCCATTAGGTCTTAAGATTTTATGTAGCATGACTGTTGTACGTCTAAGATCTACAGGGGGGTGATTGAATCTAACATTTCTTGGAAGCTACAGTAGAATAAGTCACGCTTAAAAAGTGTTTAACTAAAATAATTTTTATTTTGTGATTTGAATGTCAGTCTGCTTCACAGCTGGCATTGTTTTTAGCTGAATACTTGTAGTTGCATTTCATAAAGTATTACAGTAAGATGATGAAAACATTGCTTTCACAGCTAGCTAACAAATGCACTTAGAGGCTACTGTTGGTTCATTTACTTAGAGATGTCTTCAAAAAGAAAATATATTCTGATAGACTAACTATAGCTGTTCAGTATTCTGAAGGAGACTGGAAAACCAGTGAATGAGTTAACCATATGATTAACATGAAACATATTTGCATTCAAATTCAATAGCTGAATTCCTGCACCGAGACAGTGACAGGAGGGAAAAGAGTCTTTAAAAATCAGAAAACACCGTAGTAATTAGTGGCTTAATTATGTGTAGGTCAAATAGTGTCAGGAGGGACTACAATGCAGATTACTCTTCTAGACACCAAAACCAATGCCTGAGCAGCACACAGATGATGCCTCAGAGTTCATACATCACTCTCTGATATGCTCACATTCAACAGCCTTTGTAAGCTGGGGAGGAAGCCCAGAAAAGTCACTACAGGATTTAACCTGGGAAGGGGAAACTAAAGTGAATGTTTAAAAATCATCTGTAAGGGACAGATAAGTGCTGAAGCTGTTTACCTGAGGTAGCTCTCAAATCAGCCTTTGTGGGGAAGAGCAAGGAGGGAAACAAATACCTAGAAAGCCAAATAAAGGAGGAGGTTAGACATCAAAATCTGTACCTTTCAATATTGAAAGTAAAAACTTGGAGGCTGTGTTCATGTGAGGAAAAACAAGGATAATTTTAAATATGAAAGGTTTAGAATCATTTGCTGAAAGTGGAAGTTAATAATTAAATAGTTCTCCACCTGTGTAAGGGCTGACACATAGGGGTCCAGTAAAAAAGTAGTCAAAGAGAAGAGGCCACGATAGAGACCCTAAAGGAGGTAGAAATCTTAAGGGAATGTTAAATGAGACTCCTCAGGGCTTTTCTTGACAAGAAATAGGTAAATTTGTCATTTGAGGTGGAAGAGATCAAAAGCACCCTTATCAAGTTGGCCAGGGCTGAGGTGGGGGAGGTGGGAGGTGCCGCTGACACGCCCGAGGGCAGGACGGCACCCGGAGCTAAAGGGAAGGACCACCAGGAACCTTTGCAACCTTGTGCTGTTGGCTTGGAGCACAGGGCAGAGGCTGAGGGAGCAGGGTTTGATTTTAGTTTGGCTGCCTAACAGCAGCCCTGCATTGATCAGGGAAGCTGAGAAGGCAGGGCAAGGCTCTGCTGTGGTGCATGGTGGAAGATCAAGGAGCAGTGGTCCTGAGTTGAACTGGAGGTGCTTCTAATGGTGAGGGTGGCTGAGCATTGGAATAAGTTGCCTGTGTGGCTGTCAAATCTTTCTTAATACCTCCAAGGACAGAGAACTGGACAAAACCCTGCATGACTTAATCAGCTTTGAGGATTGAACAACAACTTTGAGGCTGAGCTAGATGAACCTTCCAAGCTTTATTCCAACTTGAATGATGCTATGATTCAAAGAATGGAGTGGATTGTCTCAAACTGAAGACCAAATAGAAGATATTTTGTTGACAGTTTTTGTAAGGAATACTAATAGAAGTCTCTCACTAGCTGAAAGCACTAGAGGTCAGATATAGAACAGCTGAATAACCATGACATGAAACCCATTGCTTTAGTTGCCCTTAATATCAATGACTTATAAATAGGCAACATTGTTCTTTTGGTTGGTTGGTTGGTTTGGTTGGTTCGGGTTTTTTTTGAGAAGTTCTGGGCTTCTACACAAGAAATTTAAAGAATGTATGACTCCAAGCAATCTGTTAGAAAATATGGTCAAGAGGTGGGACAAATAAACCTATGGGCAGATTTAGTCTTTCTGTAGAGGCAAGCCATGTCTCACAAATCTGTTAGATTACTTCACAGACTCTGAGCTTATAATTAAGATAGGACTGCAGAGTGTAGTCCACTTATATTTTCAAAAAATTGTCAGCATATAGCTCATGGTAATTATTAAGGAAATAAAGTTGCTTTGGGGCAAAGGTGGGGGGGATCCATGTAAGAGTTAATGCATGCTTTAGAAATCAAAACCAAAGGGTAGGAATACACGTTCAGATTTTAGAACAGAGGACAGATTACTGGTGCAGTCCAGGTAAGTGTGC